CCTATCATAGTACTGATTACAAGTAACTTTATAATGAAAACAAGCAATTACAGCAAAGCACAAATATATAACAACATAAAACAATAAATACAGATAATATGAGTTACGAGCTATAGTTTTTCGGATCGAACAACTGTGATGTATGAGCAGTATGCATAGATCATCGATAAATGAATAGCTTGAGACGCATAGGATTGAATAGAATGATACAAACATGGTGCATCCTCCCCAGCGATCATCATATTTATTTGTTTCTTCTTTTTAATAGACTGTCTATAGATAAACTTGTTACAATATATACATTGATATTGACATTAAATGAAACCAAAATTAAGAAAAATGAAATGAATTCATTTTATTACGTTGCGTTCAAAAACAATTATCTTCCTCTACCACTCGGAAATGAAATTCATCGTTGTGGCACTAGGTTATGTGACACATAACATACTCTTAGACATGACAGATTTTCTGTTATTTTTTGTAACATCCTGTTTGAAACTATGGCATCAAAAAACAAGTTTTGAAATCATCTTAGGCTATTTTTTGACAATGAGCAAATACAGTAGTCAATATATTAATTGTCGTCAGATTCGGCTAAGCAAGTTCGACCTAGATCACTGTGATATCAAAAATCGTTTTTCAGAAAACTACCTTATCTTATTTTACATTGAATTTATATTGATATTATCAATACCTAGACATTCTACAAAGTCTTTTTGTTTTTTTTTATGATTGTTTTTAATTATAATGTTCGACATACCGAAGACTCATAGCATAAAATTTGATTTATGACATGTAAGTTCAACTTACTCAAAAACAAAAAGAAATTCATATGAATCTAAATATCAAATCATACGTCGATTGTTTTTTAGTTGACAGATTGATTTTCAAATAAGTATTAACAAGTAATATAACATGAAAAAAAACGTTTTGTTTGTCAAATGCAAATGAATCCAATACTGAATATTTTTATTAGTTAACAATGATTTTGTCTGACTCAAAATGAAACATACTTTCTGCTTGATCTTAATAATCGTATAAATACGTATATATGCCGTCACTTTTTTTCTTTTCTATTAATGATTCTTTATGGATTTTTCCTTTAATAAATATTCATTTCTTATTCATTGATTATTGCATACCTATATATATATATATAAATATGCATATGTGTATCTTGTCACTTGTTCGAAATAAATATCATCATAAAAATCAAAAATTCAATATTCACACTTACGTAATGTCGATAGTCATCTGGTGGACTTATCAGTGAATCATCCGACCAAAAATATTTGCTATTAGGTATAACATTAAAGAAAAAACCGTCTTATCAGAAAGGAAGAAAGAAAGAAAAAGGTACATTCGTATTTATTCTGGATTTATTTCAGTATAACAATACGATTAAAATGAAATTAGAATCATTAGCAAATGAAATATTACTAGATTTATTTGAATTTATCAATGGTGTACAACTTTTTCGTGCATTTTTTGATCTTAATTCTCGTTTTAATCAATTACTTATCGTACATTTTCAATGGTATAATATTGATTTTCGTTCTATTTCTAAACCATATTTTAATATTATGTGTAAACAACATCTTCCATTAATCATGAATCGAATTATTTCATTACATTTATCGAATGATGATGAAACACCAGATTTACCTAATGTATTTCTTTCTTATGGTTTTACTCTTAATCGTTTCAATCATTTACAATCACTTAAACTATATTACATTCGTTCTATTGATTTATTAAATCAAATCATAAATCAATGTTTGCATCTTCCTTTTCTTCTAAAACTTGATATGATTGATTGTTATTTTCTCTATGAAAAAGAAAATGTTCGTCAATTAATTAATACTATTTGGAGTTTACCTAAATTAACTCATTGGAAATTTAATCGTCCATTTTCAAGTGGAATATGGTTAGAAGAAATCTCAGTAATATCATCTTCAATTAAATATTTATCTATTGAAAAAACGGAATGTTATTTTACAAATTTATTTCATTTATTTAAATATACACCTTATCTTCGACAATTATCTACAAGTATTCCAATTAATTGTGAAGATATACAATTTCAAACTGTTATTTCATCAATGGTATCATTAAAACTCATATTTAATAGTTCTATATTATCATTGAAAAATCTTTTTCAAATGATGCCAAATTTACAACATTTAACTCTTCATATAACATCTTTTTATTTAAATGGATATGAATGGGAAAAAATTCTAATGGATTATTTACCTAAAATAAGAAAATTTCAATTAAAAATGAATTTCAATTATCCTAATTTTTATCGAAAAGAAAATGAAATTGAGAAGTTTCTTGATTCATTTCGAACTTATTTTTGGATTGAAAAACATCAATGGTTTGTTCGATATGATTGGAATCCATCTGATATAATTGGTTATGGTATTCTCTATACTTTACCATATGTTTTTGAAGATTTTATTTATTCAAATGAATTTTCATCAAAATCAACTTGTATTGTCGATAGAAATTATTCATCATATGATTATGTTACAAAATTTTTACAAAAAAATGATAAACAAAATTTAGGAAATTGTTCAATTCTTTCATCTTTTCGATTTTCAAATGTTCGTCATCTTGAAATTAATTTTCCATTTCATGATAATCTTTGGTTAATAATTCCAAAATTTGATCAATTAACATCACTCTATATAAAACTATTAGGTGACAATCTAAATTATAATCAATTACAAGAATTATTTAATCGAGCATCTCATCTTGATTTGTTAACGATTGGTGTTGATAGTTGGATTCCGATAGATAATGAATTTTTTACACTTAAAAGTTCATCTATTCGACAAGTTCATTTTGTTAGAAAAAATAAATTAATTATTCAATATTTAAATAATAAAGAATTCGATACATTGATTAATTCTTCTATCATTTATCATTGTAATGTTCTTGCATTAGGTATTGAAAATCGAATACAAATTCTTGATTTAATTAAAACAATGTCTAATTTACAATCATTAATTATACAATGTCAAGATGATACATCGAATTCTATTGAATATTCATCAATAAATGATGAATTTATTGAATGGTTATATTCTTGTTTGCCAACAACATATTCAATTACAAGAGATTTTGGAACATCAAATATTCGTGTATGGATTAATCGATAATCAGATAGATTATCAAATTATTTTTTGTCTGACAGAAAGATGAATAAACTAATGGACATAATTCATTTTCTTCTTTTTTTTTTTATGTTAAACTTATTTACGAAACTAGTTAATTGACGTTTTGTTATTTGAAAACAAAAAACAATTTCTTAAGAGAAAATTAACAATTCTTTTAGTTTTACATGCGCAATTTTACAATTAATAGAAGTTTTTGACAGTCGATTCCTCTTTTGTATAACCAAATATTGAAACGTCATACGACTAATTTTGTAAATGTAAAAATTATTTCGAAATTTATTTAACATCAAAAGAAAGAGAAAAAATGATGTCGAGTAGAAAATGAATTCACATATATAGTCACTACTGAATCTATTGCGTTTCAAGTATTCGTATATTGAGTCAGTTTTCAGTAGAATACTTGAAAATAGTGCCATACTACCGGTTTTATTCAACTCTTAAAAAATCGTATAAAAAAGTTTTTCAGAAGTCAGTCGATTGTCAACTTGGAAGCACTTTACAGCCAAGCACCGAAAACAAATTCATACGATACTAGAATGCCGATAATTTTCCTTCGAGACATCTGACACTCAATACCTTCATTAGGAACAGCCCTCTTCATCTTTTTGATTCTTTTTCTATTGTAGTGGTACTTCTCTGTTGTTTTAATTTGGGAAATTCTAGGTTATGTCAACTTACCCATGATGAAAGAAGTGCTTATGATGATTGCTTGATGTTGAGTACTCAGATACTAGTATGCACATTAAAATGAGAGCATTTAATAGAGGAATCTTTTTGTTGTAAATGTAATTAGTTTTTACATTAATATGATCGAAAATGTCGATTTTAAGAAACTTAGTTCATGATTTTTTTGAAACAAATATTCAAATGATATTTTCTCATAAATGTGCTAACAATCTAATTTAACGTGATGTAATCATCAAATATATCGATGATTCAAATGATTTATATTAGTAATTTAAAGTGTAGATGAATAATTTTAAAACAAAATCACGAATACAAGAAAACAAGAATCGGCTTTTTTCACATCAATCTATTCTTGCACCCATAATTCAAATATAATGAATGATGATGAAGAAATATCTGTACTTTATTCGATAGAAACAATATTGATGTAACTAAAGCTGATTTCAGAAGAAAAAAGTCGGACGAGGATTTTTTTTTTCAATAATTTTCGATCAAAATAATATGGAGAGCTGCGAAATTTCACTTTTAGAAAGCAAAGATAAAGACGCATCGAATCATATATTACAAGTTTTTCTGAGCTGGACTTTTTTCAAGATAATTCGATCAACCGTTTTGAAAATCGGTTCATCCTGTAAGGTGATTATAATGATTTTTCAATCATCAAATATGCATCCAAATCGACAATGAAGTATCTACAAACTTATACAAGCTTCAAATTTTTAGATTTAGTTATTCACAACTGATAGGTACTAAGTTAAAATTTTCAGCCGATTCTGCAAGCCACTGCTGTGAAAAAAATCACATTCTTTTTCTATAAATTGAACTGAAAAACTCCTCAGAAAACATCTTACGAGAATCTATAATACATGATTCGATGCAACATCATCTTCTCTTGCTAACTATGAAAATCTAGTGTTCTATGTTGATTCAATCAACATTTATTCAAAAAATTTTCATCTGCTTTTTTTTGAAAGGTGATGCATAAGTTGTACAAGCTTGTATTATAAAATTATTCATCAATTTCAATGTTATTACCATGCAATGAATAATGACATTTTAAAAATATCTTTATTAGTTTCAAATGATAATCACAATAAATGGTTAACATCAATAAAAATATATATATATTGTTTAACTAGGACAATATCGAGTCATTTCAGAAACAGTACATGAATTTAGACAACAAGCTTCAGAAAGTAATTTTTCTTGTGAAAATCGTCGCACGAGAGATCCCAGTCGATTTTTATTTTTGTGTTGATCTATAGCATTACAGACAATATTAATTATATGCCACAGATGAGGACCACATGTTTGATAAGCTCGTTGTAATTGGCATTCTTCAACTTTGTATAATTTTCCATTGATTGAAATTTCATTACCTTCTTTTAATAAACGTTTACCATATTTGAGAGTACAATTTTCATTTTTCATTGATGAAATATTTTGATCGGCATCAATTGGATGACACACACATAGTGTAAAGAATAAAAACACAGAAACGAACATAGTGATTATCATCGACGGGACTGACATGGTTGATTATATTACTAAAATATAGAATCGGTGTGTTGTTTCAATAAAAAAAACGCAGAGTGTAAATAGTCAAGGACAACTAAATTTTGTTATTATGAGTACTGATGGAGCACTTATGTATTTATATAATACTGATAGTGCCGATGACTTAGCAAAATAATATACATTATTCAGCCATTAAGACGGAAACTCACGATTAGGAAATGAAGTGTTGTAAGAAAGCGATGATTTTCTGGCTGAAAACATTTTAATAACTTGAGAGTAGAGTAGACACTGACAAAAAGTAAAAATTTTGCTCGGAACGGTTCATGGTATTTCTTTTTTTACAGGCGTCATATTTATTTGCAATAACAAATGGAATTTATTCGTATATGCACATTAAAAAAAGAAAGAGATTTTTATCATGTAAGCCATTAGTTGTTGTTCTTCCTGAAGATTATCTTTGAGATGTTTACCAAAAAAGTGTCAAGAACCTTCTGTTGTTATATTAATCACACAAATTTAGTTATCTTTATTCCATTGACAAAAACTTAACTTTTATTATTTCAAACAAAAGGAAAAAAGAAAGTCAAATTAATTACATGAATGTGATTATTTTGATGGTATTCATATTGTATAACGTTAACATACATTAAATGTCTATTTAGTATATAGATTTGAAATTACGTATAACTTTATTATTATTTGACAACAGTTTTTGTGTTTTTCAAAGAAATTAAATCAGTTTACACATTTGATTGACTCGACAAAAAAAAACCTATATCGAAAAGGTGAATAGTTAAAAATTTAGCGAAATTCTACGACAATACAAAATTAACATATTCTTTAGCAGATATTTCTTAAAAACAAAAAATTTATTAATAGTTAATTATCTAAAATCGTTATCAAAAAATAATCTCTTATAACCATCTACATTGAATATTATTTCATTTCAAATGCAAAAACAACAATCTTTTTTGGCCTAGAATGAATTATGGAAGATCTTCGCAGTTCACTAGGCCAAATGACATGAATTCGTATAGAGCTGATTTGATCGTGAAGGAAATTTACTTCCAATAAATAAAAATATTCTATTTTGCAGGAAAAAAAGGTCAACGAAGTTTGCAGCAGATATTTAATTAGGAAAGTAGCGCTGGAAATACAATAGGCGACTCTGCAAAAACATTTTTTTTTCATTTTATAATCTTTTTCTTAAATAAAAAGTAGCTTTTACTGGGAAAAAAATTAAAAATTGTCTCAAATCACAGAATGCGCACGCCACGTGTGTTATCAAATTTCTAATTTGAATGAATATAAAGAAACAAAAAGGTGCATTTTTTCGCGCAATACTTACTCAAAAAAAAAAAAGATGTTACTGTTTTCTGTTCTTATTTTCCAATAAAAACAATGGGTTCAAGTGGGTACGTTCCGTACAGGTACACCTCTTCAGTTTATTTTCTTCCGAGTTGGTTTTTTACATTGCTGTTATGAGCTTTCTAGAAAATTTAGTATTTATATTGTATCAACATCTACATTCTCTAGTTTGCTTATTAACGCTCTGCTCTTCCTACAAAGATTCTTAGTTTCTCAATGTTTTTTATTTCTATTGTTCTGTACATATTCTCTACAGAAAAACAATAAAACTTATAAAGAACTCTTTGAGAATGCTATTAAACAGTGAGAAACTACTCAGCCAGACAAGAGCACATTTTAACACATAAAATGTGCAATTTTTACAATGACAAAACGACATTTTGTTTTTGTAAGAAAGCAAATTTATCACCATCATCAGCTTCAGACTAACTTTTTTTTCAAAAGAACAAAAATTAAATTTGAAAACATAAAAGGTGAACATATTAACACGTAAAAAGAGTGTTTTTTTTAATTCAATGTTGTCTGAGTAGGTGAAACTTTTATGTTTATGCTGGCTTGAGTGTTATTTTTTTTTGCAAAAATTAGACTTATCGAAACTTATTCACGATTCAACTGAACTCTGTCTTCTTCTCAACTTTGATTTTTATATTCTTTCATGAAACTAAATGAAGCATTTAAAATTCATCTCCCTGTTTGTAATTCTTTATTTACTTTGTAGTTTGCAGGCTGTAATAAAAACTAGAAGTATGAATTGGAATACAAATATACAGTGGTGTCTGATGATGATGGGAAAAATACTACTGAGTTTGGTTTCCCACCCACTCTTCGCTCGTCCGATGTACGTTAATGTCTACAAAAGAATTTATGAAATGTTTGCCACCGGTAGTGCCGGATTTATATATTATGTCGAGCGAGATATTGCTCCTGTCGGTTCCGTTCTTAAAAACTCGAGATAGTTCACAAATAATATTTAACAAATAATGACTAAGCTGACTAGAAGAGTACCCAGGATGCCATATATCTTTTTCTTTTATAGAAAATTTTCTCTTTTCTTCAAAAGGTCAAAGAATTTTTTTGTGTTTTATTAGAAAGAAAATGTTTTACCTCTCGCCTATTTATGGTTACTATTGCACTTCACACGAAGTACCCATATAAGATAGTCTGAAAAAGTGTTTACAAAAAATTCTATAACAATGCTAAGCATTATAGAAAGAATCTGTTCCTTTTTACAGAAAAGATATAAAAAACTCTCGATGACAGAACAGGAGAAGAATGAAATGGATAATCCGTAATGAATGGCCAGACTTTGCATTTCGTATTTTATAATCTCTTAATACGTTTTATTAAAAAATCTAGAACATATTAAAAGATGTAACATGAAAAGTCCTGCAATCTACAAAATAAAGATTATTTTAGTTGTGTACTTTTCTTTCAATATTATTTCATTAATTAATGAATCATAGTTTTAACTTTATCCTATGGCACATTATCGGTCTTAGTAATCCATACAGGATAACACAGGACATTGAGATCAGGACTATTCAACGGGTATCTATGATTGTCTATAAAATTCACGAAGTTTTCTTTACATCTTTCCAATGATCCTAATGTATATGTGACGTGGCGTTCTCTTTTTGGCAAGTGAAATCGTCTTCTAGGAGTCATTTGTTATCAGGTTGTACTTATGGAAGACCACCTTCGATATAATTTTTATGTAATAATGTTTTACTAGATTTAAACATAACGAGATATGTAAGACCATTTTTAGTTGTATCTGATCACTTCATAATTGTTTCTGAACATTTAACCTTCTGATTTATATCTTTTTGTTCGTTTGCCTCTTGTCGTCTTGAAGCATAAATATATTCGAATAAGAAAATATTGTTGTCAATGAAATAAAAAAGCGAATTAATAGTTTAATCAAAAAATGACACTGTTCACAGCGTTAAAAATTGATCATACAGAATTTTGCTTATTATGAAAATAAAAGGTATACAAGTAAAATAAAATTTTCTTTGTAGATCGTAGAGCTTTTCATACTTCATCTTTTGACATATCCTTTTTGTTTTTAATAGAACATATGTAGAGGTTCAAATGTGAAATGTAAAGTGCCACCACTTATTATGAGTCACTTTCATTCAGCTTTTCTACAAAGTTCGCTTTCGAATAAAACAAAATCGCTAAAAAGAAATGCACTTTTTACGTTCTTAAACACAAAATTTTTTGAAAAAGACCATAAATCTGAAGATGATGAGATGACCGCAAACTTGCTTTTTTTCGGCCTTCAAAGCGTACATTTCAATAAATTAGAATGTTCTCTTGTCTGGCTGAATTGGCGCATAATCTTGTTGCTACTTTATCAATTCGTGATATCTATCCAAAAAAAGAATGCTCAGAATGAATAAGAGAATACTTAAATTCGTTTCTATGTAAAGTTGTTGACATATTGTGGCAATTTTATTTGTCTTTACCATTATTTCAAAGAATAGATGAATCTCGGGAATAGTTATCGACACTAAGCGCAAGTTCACCAGATTGAGCAATTAAAAATCAGAATATTTTTGTTGAAAATCGGAAAGCGATTTTATTGTGTTGGGATGCCTGTTTAATTGTCCTATTAGTATAATATGCATAACTCTGTTTCTATTAATTTATCCATACTGCATCAAAAATATATTTCATAATTAAAAACAGACAGACACAAAATAAATTTCCAGTTAAGTCATCAATGATCAAACTCAAAATGAATTAAATTGGCATGTAACTGAGAGCAACATACCATTTGTGTCAAGATTTTTTGATAAAACTCTGTTAAATTGCTATCGCTATCAAACAGCCACTTGAGAATTATCATATGGAGTGTATTAGAAACTTTGTTATAACCCTCTTTCTACTTACCTTTAAATAAATAAAACAAATTTCGTTCATTTGCGGGTAAAAAGCTCGAAGGCTAATTATTGAATATAACTTGAGATAGAAAAACCGTCAATGTGTCGGAAATTCGATTAATCTTCGAAAATAATTTCTCTTTGAAAACGTCTACTTCTTTTGAGCTATGGCAAAAACGCTTGAGTCTTCTAGAATACTACACGTCTGATATGAAAACAATGTAAGAACACAATGAAAAATTCTTCGATTATAGGTCACCTTCTATGATGAGCAAAATCAATAGCTGACCCACGTATTGGCAGGCAAAATGAACCAAATTAAGGTAAACTATATGCACACGTTGTGTACTATAAATCAAACAATAATCATTTATGTCTTGATTGTAGCTGATTGATAGAAATTCTTTTTATTAATGATGGAATCTTGTAGGTCTTTTTTTAATGCTTATATATGGATTATTCAAATCCATTTGAAGAATTTATTAATATATAGTAATAGAAAACAAATTAGAACTTTTTAAATTCGTTTATCTGTTTCAATTACTTTAATAACATGAGAGGAAAATCTTGGTGTACATTAATAAAAATATTTTTTTCTTTTACGAGGGACAGTAACGTGACATTTCAACAACAGTACACGAACTTTCACAACAAGCTTCAGTAAGTAATTTCTGTTGTACAAATTTGCGAATACGAGTGCCAAGGTTTGTTTTTTCTTTATATAGGTCTATAGCTTCACAAACAATGTTGACTATATACCACAAATCAGGACCACAAGCTCGATAAGCTCGTTGAAGACGACAATCTTCAACTTTATATAATTTTCCATGAATTATTATTTTTTCACCTTCATTCAATAAATGAGTTCCATGTTTAACAGTACAATTTATAATTGAAGATGGTAAATTCATTCGATCTTCATCAGTTTTATTAGCTAAAACTAATGAAATAAGCAAAAAACCAACAAACAACATCATAGTTGTAATTACTAAGACAAATATAAAGTATGATAATGTTAAAATCTAGAAATAGTACTATATTTAGAAAAAAGAAACAAGAAAGTGCTTATTGAAGCAGTTAGAAAACATTCACTTGATTATATTCGAGTGTTTAAAATTTTAAAAAGCTTGAACTGAATAACATGTTTCTTTCATTTAGTATTTATCAAAACAAAAACAAGCTGTTAATAAAAGTCGACTAAACTCATAATTTGATGAAATAATCAAGTGCTTAATACATAAACAAAAACATAGATTCAACAGATCAGCTTCTCCAAACGTAACACTGCGATATTTTTGACAGTTTTTTTTTCATTATCTTGGAGTTTTTAGGTACTACAAAGTTCGTTCAACGCTATTCGATGCAGCATATCGCATTCTATTTATTGTATAAGAATGATCTTTTTTGGTTGAAGTCTTGGAATTCTAAAACGGTTTTATCATTACGTAACGCTGTTATATAGAGTTTTGTCGATCAATTTTGAGGCACTTAACACACTTAAAATATTTGATTTTCATAAAATACGGTTTTTGTTTTTCGTAAATCTAATCGTTCTACAAAAGAATGGAGTTGTCACATCAAAATGAAAGCTGATTAACAATATGGTAAGTTGAAAACTGTATAAGTTGTCCTTAACAGTGAAAGTCAAAAATGGATATCTCATTTTGTAGAGAGTTGAATTCTGTATCAAATGTTGTATTATAAAAACATTTTTGAAAAAATTTCTTAGTTAAGAAATTCAAAACATCATTTTTCAAATAGTATAAAACTCGGTTTTCGATAGCAAAATTTAGTTTTTTTTTTAAAGAACAGATGTCAAATTCATAATTAGCGTAAAAAGCTGTACCTAATCATACGTTTAAATATGTCCAACTCAAAAAATTTTTCAAAAACTTTATTAGCAATATATGAGATTACATGGACAAGCTGATATACACATGCTTGATCAATTGCTATATAGATAAAGCCATATGAATATCATAAAATTTCTATTGAAGTTTATTCATCTCAACTATCAAGGCGTTAAAATATTGTTCTAGTATTTCTAAGTGCACTGTTATCAATTAAAAAGAAAATTAAAATTATAACAAACCATTATGACATCGTATTGGTCGGAAAAAAGAACTCTATTATATACAATAACTATTCTTCATTCATCAATCTATATGTATGGTTTTGTCCAGCTGCTCACAATACATTGATACTTGTAATGAAAAGTTTATTTTTTTTTTAATCTTCATATTTTTAGAACCTAAACACTAGTTCTACTCATTCAGTGTATTAATTCTAGATAATCTTCTCAAAATGGTCATTTTATTAGCTTTAGTCATTTCAATATCAATACAAAATATTTCATGCTGATACATTTGATATTTTCCAAAATGTAGACTCATCTGAATAACAAGGACTCATTTTCAAAATGTTCTTTTGAAAAGTTTTGCGCGACAAAAATATCCAATTCTTTCAGAACGGAAAATAAGAATAGAAACTTCGAAGAATTTCATTATAGCTTGATTAATAAATAAATCTTCTCCTACTTCTACTGATGATTAAAAAGAAATTTGTTAAAAATGCAATTGTTTTTTGTCTAACGATTTCATATTTTTTAAACTAGTGTTTAGGTTCTAGAAACGTCGAAATTTCAAAACGCAAAATAAACTGTCGAACATACCGTTTGATGTGTTCCCAAAATGCTTTCAAACGCAGAGTTTAATGATGCAAGAAAGATGAAAATATACGACTTGGTTAATATTATGTTATTTTATTGTTTTCAATTTTTTATTGATGGTAACAATGTATTTAAGTATCGAAGCAATCATCAAATAGTTTCACATAGAAGAAGAGTGGATTTATATAACAAATTTTACTAATATCCATTAGAAAATGAATTAATAAATAGAATTACTTAAAAAAAAAGCTTAAGATTTTCTATGATCAAACATTTTTTATAGTTTGAAAATAAAATAAAAAAGAATGACTTTTTTCCTAAACACAACTAATAAATAATATATTGCTCTTTCCAGGATATGGTTTGTCAGTAGTATTTGCTAATTATCTTTTTTATAAGACTGAGAAGAGCCGGATAATCAAAATTTTTGAATTCATATGACAAGTCATGCTTCATCCTAATGCTTTTTTAGAATTTTTCTTAAATAAAAAAAAACGTGCTTCTTGAACTTTAAGGCATTACTAAGGTTGATTTTATTTATCAATTAAATATTTATAAAGAAAAGTTATTGATATAATCCTAAATAAAAAATCATCCATCAAATAAATTAGTTTAGACTTTTCTTCACTATTTTCTTCCAGCTTTTTATTTCATAACACAATTAGTCATGCTTTCTTTTCAACTGTTTGACATCTAAAGACATCTCTAGCTTTATTTTTCACTGCAAAATTGAAATAAATATTCAAATCATTTTGTTTTTCTGCTGTTAGAATGAGAAGATTTTTAAAGCGCATGATATTTTAAAAAAGAAGTCCTTATTCAATGATCATTTCAATTAACACGATCAGTTACGATTTAAATGATTTTACTTTCTTGTTTTGGAATCAATTTACTTGTTTAGTGTATTAGAATTTCTAATATAAACCTGATCCATTGATATATAAAAGCAAAGCATAAAAAACTGCAGAGACGACATAAGTCGCCTGATTCGAGTTCGAATATAAGCGGAGTTTTTCAAGCATAATGCCACTTCGAAAATAAATGAAAGAAATTCCAATCAGTACTGAACTCAGTCAAAATACAAAGCTATTTTTTTCATTTCAATTATATTTTATAATTCATATTAGGATGCATCATGTATTGATAAATGAATATATATGTTAACGTCCAATCGTGGTTATCGAATCGAGCTGATTTAGCTTTACTGGCTACTGATCATGCAACTGATTTTATATTCAACAATGGTCATGGTGTTCACTTACTGTACCAATATGTCAAGATTAGTCAACCGGAACAACAGATCTTTTAAACTGATGTTACAACACAAGACATACAAAGAAGAAAAATGACAAATAAAAGGAAACTGTATATTCCTTATCATATCATAAATAATAACATCACAATCGTTGACATCATAAACATAGATTTTGTAACTTATAAATCCATTGTTAAGATAATTTAATGCAGTAACATTAAGTACTAGTAGCAAAATGTAATTCACTAAGATCATCATGGATAACAATGAGACTTATTTCAAAAGAAACTTAAATACCTACTTATATCACTCATGTTTTATGTTCTACTTAATATGTAATAATGGTGTATGAAAGCAATAGATCTATGTTTATGATGTTAATGATGATGTTATTATTATTTATGATATTATAAAAATATACAATTTCCTTTTATTTTTCTTTTTTCTTTTGTGTATGTCTTATGTTGTAACATCAGTTTAAAAGATCTGGTATTCTGGTTGAAAATGATCGTATAGGATAGAAAATTTCCATCAAAATAAAAAATTTATTATTATAAACTTCTACATTGGTTTGATTAATTAGATATTAAATTTGAATGTCATGTACTATCGGCTTCATACACAATCATCAGTCAAAACAGACATTTTTATTGGTTTTATTTGTATGATTTTGATTAAGAATGAAATACACTGAATTAACCTGGTTTAAATGTCACGTTTCATCAACGAATTTGAAAAACATCAGTTTTTTTTGTCCATTTCATTATCTGAAATGCCATTTTTTTCGCGCTTTTGATAAAAATTCCCAAAAGTCATGAAGTTTTTTGAGTTTTTTGACTCCATGGGTGATAAAAAAAAGTGTTTATGATGATATTGTGAAAGATATTGTCACCAGAAAATATTTGTAAAACAGTTTCTGTATTATGTATATATTTTTTTGTACTTATGTCTGAATAAAATTAAAATAAATTAAACAAAGAAATAATTTTCTTGATTTGTAACAATAAACACATTTATTCAACGTTGAAGAAAGAAAAGAAATAAATTTAGAAATTAAATATCTTTTTTATCATGATATATCAATATTTTTTAATTTTAGTTTCGAAGGTTCTATTGATAATTGGTCAACTACTTCCCATGTAGAGATTCAAGAATATCTATTCAATTTCCATCTAAAAATTAATTGAAAATGAATATTTAATCTTATTCTTTTTCTTTTATTTACTGCTATTCAAATATCTGAAGATTTCGGTCAACGAAATTATTTCTTATTATTAAATCACAATCATACATGTGTTTAATAAAAATTTTTCTCATGAATAAGTCGAATTTATCTTCTAGAATTCGATTGAAATCTGAAATTCCAAGTTTAAATCAAGCATCCAGTTTTACATCATCTTCAACAAACACTAATAATTGTTTATTAAAGAGGACAAAATAATATTAAAATTCCTTTTGTTTTCTTGAATCGTTTTCCCAACATATCCTTATTGAAGATAAACATTCTTATGCTAAATTGTAAAATCATTTTCTTTCTTCTCTCGTTCAATATTTTTCATACTTTTCTTTATTCGTACAGATGTTTCATGCAATCAGAATTTAAACTTAAACAAAAATGACAAAAATTACCCAATAAACTTCTATCAATATTCAATCACAAGAACTAGTACAATCGGCTCAAATCCATCAATATCATGACATGGCATCGAAATCGATTAAAATTGGTCAGCTGTAGCAGACTTCAAAAATATTGACCCGTTTTGACACAATGCACTACGACACTCTACTTTAGAAAAAAACTGTCGATATACCAGTGACTTTCGTATTTTATCCAAATTACATGGATTTTTTTTAGAAATGAAGAGGTACAATTTTTTTAAAATTTATTCTACAATCTTTCATTCCAACGAAAAGGCGGATTTTTGCTGAGAAAAAATTAAAACTTTTCAAAGTGAAAGATGCGCATCGACCGTTCATCTTGCCTTACCACTACATCCTAGTGCAATTAAACCAAACAAATGATCAGGACTTCACTGAATTTAGCAGTTTCCCTT